CCCTTTACAAAACAAATAAGATCGTTATTGAAAAACTTTATACAAAATTACTATTATTTATTCTCTGAATGTTTAGATGTGATATAAAGCGTATTCAATGTATACCTGTCTATTTTACACTTACAACTAAGTTCACGTATTTCTTAATTTACAAACAGTAATCTGATAAAGTGCCTTGTCTAATCACGTTATTGTCTATTGTTGAGTATATTTGGGGCAGCTATACCAATCTGACAAAGATGGGGAAACCATATCTACCGATAATCTGACAGACATATTTGTAAGCCTTCGATTATTGCGTCATCATTCTTATTATAAATATAAATCATTACATTGTATCCTAATGGATGTGACACATTTCCCAGAAAAGGATTCGCTTCCTTCAACGAGTACAGCAAGGTTATCAATAAACGGACATGATATTCTACCTGTGAGAGCGTTAACTGCTCATCTGTTTCTTGGCTTCAATGTGTTGAGGCTTGGCGGAAATATTAATAATATTATCGATGATCACCAGAATGCAGGATGTTGTTATTATTATTATTATTGTTTAGTTGAAGATCAATTCCGCAAATGTCACAGAGTTCGATTTTCAAATGCTGTGACACCTTGAAACTTTAGTATGTGAAAAAAATCTGACACGTGATATTGGAACTATAACTAATAATGCTAGAGTACACTTTGTTTCTTTTCCTTTGTCAGAAATTATAGTCCCATGATACCCCGAAGTTCAGCATGGTCCTAACTGGTTCAGGATTTCTAAATAGACCAGCCGGTTTTTCTACAAATGGGCTGGCCTGTTGTTTTATTTACTTCTTGGCTGGTAAATAGGCCTTACCAAAAATCATTCTCAACGTGCAGTTTAAAAATATTGATTGTAAGCTTACAGTTAAATTTAATTGGTTCAAACGCTGACTAGCATTTAATTTCTAGACTGCTTAGGAAAATGATTACGCGAAAAGTAGAACCTCATTGGTTTCGATGAACGGAATTTTAATTAATGTCCATGCTGCCAATTCAAACTTTAGGTTTATTTGGTTAGTATCAATTTGCTCTGGATTGTTAGCAGATATCTTTGACAACGGGTATCGAATTCTTTGCCATAGTGAGACAAGATGGGGTAGCAATTGGTATAATGTAAAATTATGACTTGTCGTCGTGCTTTAGTAGCTTGCGACTCCCTCCCGGCTGCTTTGCAAGAGCCAGAAATTGAGTCTTTATCTTCATACTCAAGAAAGCGAGAAGCCAACTCTTTGTTATCCAGTAGAATGATCTATTATTCTAATAAAGAACACGAATCACCACCTCGCACACAGAGATTGCTTGACCGTATCGGCGCTATTCTAGTCAGCATCTCGACATGCAACCAATAATGACATTTGAAACGCCGTAATGACAATTACCGCGGGTATGACGTCATTCATGTGATCAAATTTATACTCGCAGCCAATCGCGTCTTGCAGAAACTGCGTGTTCTAATAAAATTACATGACATTTTATTACGGAATGCCGATAGACCACAGCCTACACTATCAAATGACGATGTTAATCGTCTAGGGTTGACTTTCTAACTTGCAACTATTTGACATGTATTCCCGACTAGCTGTGTTTAATAATGTTAAATAAAACCGGTGTTGTGCCACAAAAGTGGAGCCCTTTCTCCGAAAGCTTGCATCGCAAAATTACTTCTGATTAATTATCAGAGGCTTTTAAACGATACGGGAGTTGTATCCTTGATTAATGTGCCATTTATATTTGGGAATATTTTCGAAACCCTTTATTGATTATCTATAAGCAAATAGTGATAGTAAAAATATATCAGTTAGAAATTGAATATAATCAGCGTAAACTAGAGATTGCAGTTCGATATTTTCGTCAGCTGTATAGTATTCTTCATCAGACTTGGCATTTTATACACGATTGGAGTGTTATAACAAAATGTATTTGTATTCATCCTAGATAAGATGGTACGTGTCTTGGAACAAAGACAGGATGTATTATAGGAGAAACTTCTTCTTTTTCCTCCCTTGTTTTACTTTATTCTTTTATATTTATGAATTTCCTAGACAATTACGGGCATTCTAAAGCCTTTCATTTGATCACGCTCTGATATCCAAGATTCGCTAATCATTTTATTGTGGATACTAGCTGCGAAAAAGCACGTAGTTAGCGATTATAATTATAACGCATGTTGTGTCTGAGTTTGGGACCTGTCTCAGTGCCGAACTCACACTCGGTCCAGAACTGAGACAGGTTCCCAACTGAGGTCCAACACACACGATAGCCAGAAGTTCTTTCTCGTCCACATAAAGATCTCGTACAAACCGCCTAAAGCAACCATGTACTAGTGAAGCTGAAATATTGACTATCTCTCAAGGTTTATAGTAAGTTACAATTCGCCAAATTGCAGTACTTGATAAATAAACACGCCGAGGCGTTCACCTGGCGAATATACCCAAGAGACTTTGCAGTACCCTCCAAGTAGTGAGCGAGTAACACAAAAATTCACTAGTAAAACATGAAAAGTCTTTTCTCAAAAAATCTTTCCTGTACAATAATATCTATCTATTAGATCAACCGGCATATCAGTATCAACTACTACAGACTTTCTCAAAATGTTTACTTTTTACAGCAGGAATTCTTTATCTTACAGCATTAGATTTTCAAGACCGCTGACTGCTCTTGATCATTTCCGCGTCCTTTTTACTTAACGGACATAATTCATAAATTTGAATCGTACATAAGATAAGTGGCGAACGATTATATTGCCAAAACAGTCGTCATGACCCGATTTACGATGGCGATTCTGCTTTAGTATTTGGTTATTTTCAGATAATGTTTATCGGCCTTGAAATAGACGTTAAAAGGCTAGCATTATCATTACGCATTCTTACGCGCTTGTTACAATTATCAAGTTACATTCGCATTTTAAAACATGCTTTATTTCTTCAATAGAGATAGATTTAAATATCCTTTACAGGAAACTAAACAATCCTCAAAGGAATATTTGACTTTTCCCCAGTTCAGCATAAAAAAAATTCACTCAGAACAAAAAAAAATAAAATAAGAAGAGGATTCAACATGCTGATAAAAACTCTTCATAACCAACGTCTCTTTCTCGAGACATTTCTGCTTAACCATTGAAATAAATCTTTATATCATATGACCTACTAACGACGACTCTAAAAATGTATGGAAGATAATATATGAAAATAGTTATGAAACATCAAAACAATAAACCAGAGGAAAATAAACCATGAAAGACCTGCAATACTGTACGGAAATAACGTAAATATGGTGGTCGTAGAGAATAATAATAATGAGATAATATAATAATAGTAATATAGAATACGGAAAAGGTCTTTGTCTATTGCCTTTTCCTGTCTTATAAAAATAAAACCATGATCATGAAATGGAACTGGGGATAAAACCATTGACTTGCTTATAAATATTCTTTTATGTTAAGTAGGGAACCTACAGTATCTGACATTTTTTAAAAAAAAATTCAAATCAGAAAACTTCTCTAGGCAAAGAAATAAAACACCATATAGCTCAAATAGAATTGCTTACACTTACGACCGACAAAGGACCTCCGATCACACTCCCAAACCTTATTTGAGTGCGTTAACTTTAACGATAGCAGCGTCGACCTTTGCCTTAAATTTAGCGATGTCGTTCATAGAATGTGCAAGCTCACGAAGATCATCAGTGTCTAAAAGATTGATTGTGACTTTGCTGGCCTGTGCACTTCGCAAACCAAGGCTCTGTATGAGAGAAATCCGGTTTCGAGTGAGAACTATGTTTTAAAACAGAATACGCGCCTACCGGCTGTGCTAGCTTATTCGAAAATCCTCACCTTAACTTTTGGAAATAGTTTATCGCCGAGTTTCTGCTTCCGCTCGACAACGGGTTTCTGTTCCAACATCCTCAAAAACTGTTCGGTTTCCTCGTACAGAGAATTATTTTGGTCATAATGACCATTTTTCTCTGCAGTCTTCGGGGGAGCAACTACACCCTTGAAACTAATAGGCTCGGGCGATTTGGTAGGAGTTGACGCGGGCGAAAATTCTCTGGGCGTGGACGGTTTAGTAGTGGACGGTGTCGTCACGGAATCGTCCTGTGTAAACTCCAAAGCAGCGATTGCTTCTAAAATTTTCTTATCCAGATACTCCGAGTTGAAGTAGCACAGAGACCGCTCTTTCTTGGATAAGCTCATGATCAAGTCGAGAACTTCTTGACTGTGACGAGGGTTGAATTTTCTAATTGCACGAAGGAATTTCTCTCGTTCAGGTACAGGAGCGAGTGAAGGCATTTGAGTAGCAGGAATAGTAGGCGCAACTAGAGATGGCAGATGCGAGGTTGTAGACACGCTAGTGTTTTCATCTGAACCGCGGCGGTTTTTGCCTTTAAGTTGCTGGCGTGCTTCTGTGATCTAACGAGGTGATATGAAAAGAGACGCACGCATTGGATTAGCATTGTGCCATACTGTCAATCATTATACTATATTATCGGCGTCGTCGAGCATTTGCAATTTACCTTTTGTTGCAGTGCCTGAGGGTCCTCAAACATATGCAATATTTCTGGCAGTTTGTAAGCCAACAAGATATCGATAATTGGAGTAACCTCCTCTTGAGGTATGCTCGGGATATGTCTGAATCTCTTTTGCAATTCAGACATCAACACCTCTCTTCTCGCTTTAGGAGCCAAATCGGACAACTCTTCCTGGTTAAATTCATTGTAAGCATTGACCGCATAAATTTCAGAGTTTCTTCTTGATGGTGCGCGCGATTCCGTTGGAGACGCTGGTCCATTAAAAGTTGTTTTCGTCTCCCGCAATTTCTTTGGCTCATGCAGTCTAACAACAATTTGTTTAGAGCCTAGAGTTTTGTTATTCATTGACGACTTTGCTCGTTCGGCCTCTTCTGGGTTAGTGTAGCTCACAAAACCGAAGCCTTTTGAGTTTCCGGTTTCTTGGTCGCGCATCACGCGAGCGCTAATTATGCGACCAAACTTGCGGAAATGGTTGAAAAGATCGCTGCTTGAAATGTTGGCGTCGAGATTCTTGATGAAGAGATTGCATGGATCAACAAGCGGACCTTCTGAATTAGGTGACTGAAGTAATTGGTTATTATTATTCTGGTAATTAGTAGAAATCATGAGCTGTTGAGAAGGATTATTGAGTTAGCATTATAGGAGAATGTGTGATAACCACAAGGCATAAAGATAATGAGTAGACTGGGAAGGAATGCAATCGTAATTTGCCAAATAACCTACATTAGAACCATTGTTGTTGATATGGTTTGTGGTGACGCTACTGATACTATTAACGGAGGATGTACGTTGGTGAGCCATATTCTTGCGAGGAATGAAAAATTGGAGTGCACTGTGGTCAGATGTGTTGAGGAGCGAATAATAACGTTAACAAAATCGGAGCAATAAAATATAGCATACGAGGATTAATGACCAGGCAGAATATATATTAACTTACAGGGTTTTTCCGTGATACTCGCTACAATGCTACAGAGTCAATGTTGACAAATTAATCTTCAATATAGGTTTAGTATAATATAGATATATAAACAGACGTTCATCTTACCAGAGCCTTGAGTGCTTCGTGCGCAGCAGAGTCTTCAAAGAAATGCACATGAGCTTGGCCTTTATGAAGAAGCTTACACGAATATAAAGGGCCGTAATTTCTGAAGAGGTCAAACACTTCATTTTTATCTATTCCATTAGGCAATTGTTTTACTAGTAAAATTTGTGCATTTGGTAGGATATCTGATCCGCTGCTGGGATCTTTGATATGAAATTTAAGAACGCTCTTATCGAGTGAAATGTTGTTGTAAAAGGCAAATGCTCTCTCAGCTAGAATACGTTGTATCGATTGAAGAAAGATAATCGATCACGTAGGATAAAAAAAAAAGAGTGAGATACGTTGGCATGTTATGTAGAGAAATCAAAGAGACTTTTATAAATGTGATAGATACCTTCATTTTTGGTGGAAAATCGAACGACACCACTTGAAGGGGCCATGGTTCCAGAAGGTTTAAGGTCGACACTGGTTTAAACGGAGACGCGCTGTTAGGTTGTGTAGATGCGCAGTTACATTCTATTTGAAAGTTGATGTCGAGATCAAAGGAATACATACTTGGGAGTGTTAACGACTTTGAGAATCTCTTCGAGTTCGTTGTTGGTCATACTGTATGGCACCTTGCTTATATAGATGACAGGCTCTTCGAAAAGTGTGCCTTTAGGTGTATAGTCGTCGTTAGTGGGCATAGGCATATTGTTAATGGGCATAATTTGGTCAAGTTACCACCTGAGGTTTGAGAACGAGCTTGTTGCTGAGCTCCATAATTAATACGGTTGTGCGACATAGTAGCACCGCACCGGCACAAATTTTGATGTTCATGTCGATGATACGGTATGTACGTATTGACGTTGAGCAACGTTCCTCACAGCGGAGTTTTTTTTCCTGGCACCATTATCCTCGAGCAGTAACACAATCGATTGCTCTTTGGCCAGGGTCCATGGGTCTGTAAGCTTGGAGAATGGGGAAGTCTTTCGTATCAACATAGATTCGGGGCGTTTTGATACAAGGCTATTATATCGAACAAAAACACTCGACGGTTTGCATCGATTCCATTAGGCAGGCAGGGGTGGTAAGAGTTATGCATTCGCGTTGTCGATTTAGTAGGACAAACGGTGGAGCCCAACAAATTCTAGGCCTTTTTAGGCATTTCGCAGTTGATTTGCCAAAGGAGAAAAATTTTCCTCTCTCCGGTTAATGCTGCGGGACATGTTGATGATATAAGGATTTCCTTATATACATTCGAGATATGCCGATAAATGATCGGCTGTGTGTGATATAAAAAGGCTCGTTTATTGTTCGTTTATTGTTCGTTTATTGCGCAGTTACATTGACTCGCAAAAAAAGAGAAGTCTATTCTGATGCCATAGAAAGCTGCAGGGAGTCGTTCGGTAGTTCTATATGCGGAATAGAAACGTTACAACAAAAACAAGGGCAATAGACTTCAGGGGTTCAAAACACTTGGTCCCCATATTAATATTAATATAGTAATAGTAATAGCCAACAAACACAAGCGGGGGCGGGGTTGGCTGATTTACCTTTACGTCTATATTAATATTCGCTTGCTTTTCACCTTTAAGCACAAGTTCAGCATCGTTGCTAAATCGACTAAGCCTTTTTGTTGAGCATGGCTTGGTTGGTGGTTCGTGACTGATCATCACTCTGATTGCTTGCAGTTCAAGTGCATACTCTAATATTAATACCCCTTGTAATTAATCTTAAAAGAAGTAGGTGGCTTTGCATTATAATTAGGTCCGAGTATTTTAACAGTTTATAAAATCAAATCGTCCTATTATTATTATTGTATCCAAACTTTTAAAAACAACTAGGATGATATTTAGATAGTGCTTCGCACGTGATGAAATTTTGTCGTAGATTTAACTTATTTTAATAAGTATGGTGTTGTACTTTCTTTATTTGTTGCGAAAATTAAAATTAATGGTTCGTGAACAAAGATGTGCTTTGGCGGTAACAGTTTTTTTTTTTTTTATTTCGGACAAAAAGTGGGGTTTTCGACTGTTCTTTACATTTGTTGTAGAACGATTACATATACTACCTAAGTTCCGTTATCGGATACTCATTACTACCTACGTTCTGTTATTGAACCATTAAACATATTTCATGATTCACTCCTTGTCAGAGCTTTTGTTGTGTGTTAGCAGGTGGGGTTTGGGAGGTGTTGTGTGTGCAGAAAATGCTGTATTCGTTAAAGGGGTTTGTGGCGGTCTTGTCGCCCTTGTGCTGTGATGGAGGTATTCTAAAGACCATTTGGTCTTGTTGTTGTTTCGGTTGTGTTTCAACGATGCCGGTGGCGAGGCTGGACGATTTGATGGTTTGGAGGGTTAGGTGATCGTGATTATTTGTGTATGATAATAACTGTGAGTTTGTTGGTTTTTTATATCTACAACGATATTCCGAGAAGGCATTTGCATCAACAGTGCGGCCAAGACTTGAATAAAGGTAAACCGGAGATAGATATTTCCTTTTCTGTATGGGACTATTGCTATGCACGAAGGAATAGATGCTAGAAGGCTTTTTGCGAGGAAGGCTTTTTGGCTTTTTGCATGACGCACAGACAGCTATTTTGGTTGAATCACGTGGATGGTAGGTTAATGTAACATCCGGATATGATATTTTTTCAATACCCAATGAATTTGATAGGGGTAGAGCATTCACCCGTAATAACAACACGGTGCACATGGAAACTGTG